TCAGCGAACTATGCTGGAGCTTCTCAACCAGCTGGATGGTTTCGACGACCGTGGAGACGTCAAGGTCATTATGGCCACAAACAAAATCGATACCCTGGATCCCGCTCTGATCCGACCTGGACGTATCGATCGAAAGATTCTCTTCGAGAACCCCGACCAGAACACCAAGCGCAAGATCTTTACACTTCACACCTCAAAGATGAACCTTAATGATGATGTCGATCTTGAGGAATTCATCTCCCAAAAGGACGACCTTTCAGGTGCCGACATCAAGGCCATCTGCTCCGAAGCCGGTCTGCTCGCTCTCCGAGAACGACGAATGCGGGTGCAAATGGCGGACTTCCGATCAGCGCGCGAGAGAGTACTCCGTACAAAGCAGGAGGGTGAGCCAGAGGGTCTGTATCTGTAAAGCACTTGTACATGAGCGATTGGGACAGATAGATGGGTCTCGGTTATTAATGAGAACTAGAGGTTTAACAGCCACTTTGAGCGGAACGTTTTGTACGAGGGTTAATGCTTAGGTTGGCAATAGCCTAGGACTTGATGTTCAGTGTAATGTTACATGTTGACAGCGTAATGCTTCTGCAATTTCGTGAGCGGGCTGTATCCCGCCTCCATTACCCTTGATGAGTGGACAACAAACTCCATACCAAACCGATACTTTATTGTCCATCCCGATATCCTCCATAACCCATACACGGATCCTAAAATGCAGACATATCATGAGGATCCCAGTTGTTGTTTCTAATACCAAGCTGGCAGACGGTGTAGGCGTAAAACTAATTGCCGTTCTCCTTCTTCACAACCTCATTATTCTGCACTCCGACAGGTGAATGGTTGTACAGCCACCGTGCAATGATGAAGCTCCCAATGGCCCAGCCCCAGACGAGGACGGCGATGGAAGAAGTGATGAGCAGTGCAGGCACGAGAACAAGAAGGGCAACGCCAACCCAGAAGAGAGCAAAGACGATTGCTGCGCCAAGGGCGAATAGGATGGTTGAGAGGGAGAATGTGAGGAAGATTAGAAGAGGGAGGAAAGAAAGAAGAAGTTGTGATACAATAAAGGACTGCTTTGTTAGTGATGGTTGATAAGCGGTGAGAGGGGGACGTACAAAGAGAATAGGTCGCGATGAAGCAAAAGAAGCAGTATTGTCGTAAGCTTTCTGTCGAGAATTAGGCGGGACAACACGATCCACGGAGCTCCGCGCGTAGGCGATGAAGCCTGATGCGTTGTCACGAGCAGTCTCGCGGTAAGAGTTTGTAGCGGCGGGAGCCATTGCTGCGATGGACGGAGTGAGAAAGGAGCGTGGATGGTTGAAGATGGTTTATGGTGTTGGTGGTACAATTGTCATTATGGGAGGTGCTTGAGATAGCTCTTCAGGGAGGTTGAGGTCAGCTTCCCTTAGATGACGTGGGGGACGTGCTGGGTACGTACCCACTACACACGGCAATTGGGATCTGGGGTGGTGAGGTACGGAGAGACCAATCAGATGTTACACTTGCTTGGCTTGCAATGTGCTGTAACGACGGGCTGTGTAAAGATTAATCGAATTGACAATCAATTATGGACTTTTTGATATTCCAATATTACCGTGAATGCCTAATCAATCTGAGTCCTGCCTATTAAAATCTTGGAGACTGCCACTCCCAGTTGTCCAAACGCTATGATAGGTAACCATTCACTGCCTTCTGGTTCCTCACACATAGCTCATATCAACATCTTCCACTGCGACTGTGCTCAACTGAGAAACAAGTTGGTCAAGGCGTGACAGGACTTGATTAATCTCCAGCCTTGTTTCATGGTTCTTGTCCAACATGCCTGATACAAGGTCATATGCCAGCTGGTTGCTCAAATCCTCGCCTACAGATTGGCTCTTATCACACAAGGCCTTGAGACTCTTCATGAAGTGCTCGTGTTCTGAAGCAATCTGGCACGAACGTCCATCCTTTGTCCTGCAAAAGCTGTCCCACAATTCATTTCGCCCAGCTCTGCCTCTCTTTGCCACACCTAGCATTAGTGCAAAGCAGCATCCGAGTTGCCATACATCGGCACGGAGGTTGCTCTCCAGGTGTGCGACTTGCTCTGGGGCGAGGAAGATATACGAGCAGTCGTCGAAATTGGTTGATCCCCCACGGATGAATACTTTGCTAACCCCAACATCGGTCAAAAGAGGCCGGATATCTGGTGAATTGGGTTCGTGCAGCAATATGTTGTCGGGCTTGATGTCCTTGTGCTTAATTGACCGTCCATGCATATAAGCCACAGCTCGTGCCAGCTTCTTCATAATACGATAGATGCAGAGGTCAGACTGCGGGGAGCCTGGGTTGAACCAAGTGCACCGATCTTTGCGTTTGTCGTCGGTTGAATTCAAAAAGGCTTCAAGGGTGTAGGGAGCCCAGGGTCTCAATATGAGACAAACGGCACCGTCGTCCTCTTCCATTCCGTCGTCGTTGGCGACAGTGAATGCTTCGACCAGTTTGACGATGTTGGGGTGGTTGCAAACTTCNNTCTTGCTCCGATCATTACAGAACAAGTTCTTCATCGCAAGTTCCTCCGAGGTTTTCTTGTGTTCTACCTTTTCGACCGTCCCGAAACTGCCCTTGGCTTTACGTTCAAACGGCTTTTGGGCATAAGGTACGTCCTCGATCTTGTTGTAGGTATGTACGTATCGCGGCTCGAGCATTTTGGCAAATTGAGATAGGCATTTCTCTAAATGTGGCCTCGTCATTGTTAGCTGTCTGTGTTACCAACTAACAAGGGTTGACATACCGATGCTCCTCGAACGAACGTACAGCCTCCGTTTGGGAAACCAGAGATGCCCCATTTAGTACTGTCTTCCCCAGGGTCTCGGCGATACTGATGGCCACCTTCACGAGCCCTTGCTGGTTCGGTAGGGATCGAGGGTAGCCCGTTCTTTCATCCATGTCCAGAATGAACTGTGAGGCAAAAAGAGCGTCGAGGGCATCAGAGCGCCCCTGTTCTCTGTTCTTGCCATAGAAGTCGACAAGTTCTACAAGTTCAGCGATGCAGCTTTTTTTCTTTCCATTAGCTCCCCAATGTAGGCCGAAACGCCATCGGCAATACTCGAACCCATTTGGTGTAGTTCACGTAGTAGAGTATCGAGGTCTGTCTCCAGTGTCTGTGACCTTGCATCGATGAAACTGGCTACTGCTGAGCCTTTTCTGAGCTGGCTTTTACTCCAGGCTCTGAACCGGCAAGCAAACCGAAGGGACTCATCGAGTCTTTGAAACGTTCCGTCAATGCCATCAGAAAAGTGGTAGGGTTGTGGCTGAGGAGTGGTCGAAGGCAAGCGATTGCACAACATATTAACGGTTCGTCCTATGGCGTTGGTGCGGGGAAAGGCCTCAATAAGGCAAACAAGTGCAGGATGTCTTGTGGAGGATTTGATTGTGGTTCGCCTGGGCTCTCGGATTGATATATCACCCAACCCTTGCTTGTGTTACACAGCCTTATTTCTTG